CAGCCAACTTACCGTGCTCACTGCTCAATGTGAAGTATGCAATAACAATGATACAAAAATAAAATGGAATTATTGATTACTTTTAATATGAACAATTCAAAAAATGTCTTGTGGTTCTGCTTCATAAAATGTTGAGATGATGAAACAAATTCATTCACAGTTGAACGAAAAAAATCAAGTGACGCTTTTCATTTGCTCTTGGAAAATTTATTTACTTGTATTGAAAAAATATGGGCACCGGTGATTCTTGTAAAAATTATGAAATAAACTCGTCCCTAAAATTCTCACTCAATAGGTACTTGAGATAACGAGCTGTGCAGTGAGCAGCCAGCACCTGGTTGACATGAATTTCGGTGGATGTCGGCAACGGTGAAAGTGTCTTCGTAATGATGGTCTTCCTTTACCCGCCTAGCTGATGGCGTGGAAGTCACGTGGCTCCCATTTGCCCAACCCAGTCCATGCGGTTGACGCCTTACAAACTAGGACGAAATCGTGAGATCCAAATCGATGCAACTCGCTACTAGAATCCGGATCGACCTCACAATTTTGGGTAACGTGAGATGCATATCGGATGAGGTGAAGTATCCTATTGTGAAGAAAGACCTGATCAGACTGTATCATTGCGTGGAGCGAGACTTCTGCTAGACCGAGTGATGTATCGTTTTTAAGGAAGATCTATACCTTCTAGAAAGATTGACGCTAATGTTGTGAATTGAGACGCTGGCATACCGCTTGATGTATCTTATTGTAACCAGACAACGGAATACATCCTGTTGTAAAGTGAGGTGCTAACCTGACCAAGTGATCGCTCCTGAAAAGCGAGAAGCTGCTCTGACCAGATGATGTATTCTATTGTAAAGTGAGATTCTGGCAGTCCGAGTGATGTATTCTGTTGTGAACGTCTCATTTTTGTTGCCAGCAATAACTTGAAACTCGTCATATTGCGCTACCACAGATCTCAGCAAAACATCTTTTATTCACAGCGAATAGACTTTGGCTTCTTGTGGACTTTGTTCCGGAAGTTTGATATTTTTGCTGCGCTTTGTGAGCAGTTCTGCTGACACTGAAGTTTGATGGAATCGTTCCACGTGCGATTTGAAGTGACTAACTTAAATTGAAGTGATTCAGTTTATTTTGCATGAAAGGGTAATCCGAGTAGAATATATGTTTTGTTAGCAGCTATACTGGCTACTTGCATTAAATTTATAAGCAGGTTTATGTAAGACATTAGCTGAAGCTGTCGACTATGCTTTCTGATTTAAATGATATTCCATGCAAAAATGTCTTGAAATGTCATCTGAAATAAAAAAGCTATCGTGTCTTCTTTTTAGTGCATTTTCTCATTTATGGAAAAAATGCACTATTGTGCTCGCCATGTCCGTCTGTCCGTCCGTCCGTGACCTCAAGTTTTCGTCGACGAGAAAATGCGCTCTCTGTCACTCACTGTAGTGGGTACTGAGTTATATTTTTTTAAATGTACAACTTGTTTACAGTTAAGACAAATCGTGGTCAGTGAACCGAATCTGTGATCGTATATGGTAAAAATAAATTAATTGAATGCCGGGTACCCACAATCGAATCGTATTTTATTGTAAGGAGCGTTACCTTTTATGGAGTCTCCTCATAAGTTTAACTTCTATTTAGCATTTTGTTAGTAAGTTTATATTTAAAATTTCTTTGATAAAAAATAATCATTTTGCCTCCAACAAATAGAAGCTGTGAAGATAACGAGTCTTATTCAAGTAAATGTCTCCTAGCATTAACCATATTAGTTAAAAGAAAGGTAAAGTTAATCGATAAATATGAATTATTATTGTTTATATAAATATTATTTAGTTATTTACTCCTCTTATCAATAAGTGATTAGATTAACTTCATTAATTTTCTTTGTTACTGCAAATGCCTTCTTGAAGTCGAAGATTAATACCGTCCTTATATTTTATGTATATTAATACAGGTCATCACTGCCATCTCCTTCTACAAGCGACACATTATGACTCGCACTAGACATTTGTTTGAAAAAACAAAAACAACGCCCATTACTGAAAAATGGCTGAGGCAAAATTGTTTGTGTAAGTTCCACCAAGTGAAATGAGAGAACGATTGATTTTTCGTGTTGCACTGGTATGAGTATTGAAAATTCACGGCTTAGGGTTGATTCATTATTACCTTGTAAAGTGACGAGTGAAACGTTCACCCATGAAATCTTACACGCTTTTAATTTATTTTCAAGTTTTATCCCCTTAATCTACTAACAAAATTTCAAGTTCGGAAAATTATTTCTCCTTGACACGTTTTCAACAGACTATTATGCTTGTTATGAAATCTTGAACCGATGAAAATTTTTCTTTGAGAACGGAACCGGTGAAGTCGGTGAGAATTTTTCGCATCGATCTCGCCAAACTCCGCAGCAGTGCAGTTCACTCGCTGAGCTGTGCGCACATATATGCCCATCACGCGTCCCAGGATCGCTGGGGTGATGCTGACATGCCTGCCCGTTCGACCCCGCAGGCGCGACGTGGGCACGAGCTCTGGGTCAGGCATGTTCACCCGAGGCTGGTGCTCCAGTTGCGTTTATTATTAAAGGCTAGGATTGGATCGATGCGCCTGCCAACTCTCCACCTGAACTCGGCGCTCTTAATATCACACTCGTCGTCTACCTAATTCATCACACGTTGCCTGCCCATCTCAACACGCTCTATTTGCCCAGATCGTCACTCTCTCTCTTTCTCCTAATCATCATGCTCTTTGCAAGCTCAATTTATCACTGTCGTCTAGCTACATTTTCTTTCTCACGTCAGGTGAGGTTCTAAACCTCAAAACCGCAACGGTTTATATTTTCTGATATTTGTTCATTCGAGACAATGCTCCCTTCCATTGAATAACATGTCGAGCATTTGAGGCTTGTGACCAAATTGAGGTTTAGAGGCTGACGCCACGCAAAGATATACATTACCATGCATTGTGTGCCTACTGACGCGTTTCTCGGTGAACCTAACACTTAATAAATGTTACCGACTTGCTTATAGCGCTACAACAGCTCGCGTGGTGCCTTAGTCAACTTTCCACGCCTACAAATAACAGTGTTACTGACACAAATCGGCATCAATATACGCAACCTTTCGAGTTATACGGGAAAACGAATCCTGCTGAAAAATTCCTATTCTCAGTTTATCGAAAACTTCTGCTTGAACATGAGCGATCATTCCTATGTTGATATGGTTGAATGTATTTTTGCGGCGACATTTTGCAGGATGACAACCAAAACTGCCTCAACCTCGATAACAGCGGCTTCTGCTGCAATATTGTGCATCGTAGAATCTGGCGACCTAAACCGTTCATTCGATGGTGTTTACCCAGAAAATTGTATTCGATGGAGGTCTCTCGTTTGCTTTTGAGCAATGCGGTTCGATCAGATACGTTCTGACGGTGTTTTCTCTCAAATACGCTTAAACGATGAGAATCAGTCATAGACGTTTCTGTCTGCCGATTTGTTACTTACAGAAACGAGCCGATGAGGAAACATAAGCTTCTTTGCGATATTAAATTCTTTAGGTGCCTTGCGATTGTTTGACAGAAACGGGACGATGAGCAAACAAAACCTTCTCAAACCAAACATTAAAGCCTTAGCGACATCTTGACCTGTATGACTCAGTCTTCTATACGAGCTATCACAGCTGCGCACAGTGCACAACCGAGCTTGACCGGTCGAGGTCATGAGGGCACCAAGACCTTCATAACATCGAGGTGCTAGGGCACGGCGGCTCTTCTGGCAACATGGATTCCCTTGGCGAAGCGATCCTTAAGTTACCTTGCCGCTACTCGGCGTACGATTTGGATAGATTGCAAACAAATTCGTATTTCATATACGCGTATTATGATATTCCAGTCTGACCCGCACGTATAATACAAGCTTCCCATTCATCCTAATGTTAATGCTACCTGGCATACATGCCGCCGGAGCCGCTTCCTTCTGATGCTATTCCTTCCTGATCCGCACAGCATGAAAGAGTCAAAATGTCTTCTGTACCCGTGTGCCCCAGAAGTTTCTACCTGTTAATGCTATTCTTACCTGAACGGCATGACACACGAATCACCGATCCTAAAGCTATTGCTACCTGACCAGACGTTGTTACCAGTTAATGTTATTCCTACCGACCCGTCGTCTGGACCTCGTCGGGTGAAGGAACTGCAGCGTCGCAGCTGCTCGAGGCGCCACGAGATGCCGCCGCTTCGGCCGCAAATTCTGCAAATTTTTTTCACCGTCTGGCTGTGTCGTAACTCCTTCCTGTCTCCCCTTCCTCTATCTCTACCTTTATCCTCCCAGTCCAGCCCACTCCTCCCCCACCGGTGGGAGGTCTAAACCACGAGCAGGCCTGACAAACAGCCGTAGCAGGAGCTTAACCCCCCTCACCCTCTGATTTCATGGTTAATGGATCACATTTTTCAATCAAATGAAAAAAATCCGACTCGGTCTTTGTTTCGATTTATTGACGAATTGCATATTTTGCTCATGGCAATCAGCGTAGTGCGCAGGCGTTGCTAGGCGCATAGGGGCAGCGTAAACATCAGGAGTTACGCAAGCGCGACCTCCTTGTCGCATTATATACGCGCTTGCAAGCTGCCCGACGGCGCCTTGATGGTCTCGCCCGATTCTGCACGGTTATACCTGCCCCTACCCTACTCCTATTCTCGTTCTCTTCTCTTTGATCTTCTCCTCATGTCAGTCGTAAATTCTTTCCTTCTCTTTCACTTGGCTTCCATTTCTTCTTTGCACTCCCCCTCTGCAGCTTCGCTATTTCTGCCCCCAACATCTGCTGTTCTTCTGACGCGCGTGCTGCTGGTAAAAGTTGTATTGCTGCGGAACATGTGCATGAATAAAATTGTCTCCTTTGCAGCATTTATTTGTTTCTTTCTTTGCCGCGTTGCAGACACAACATTAATATGTTTGTTTGCTACCATGCAGCTATTTCACTAATTTTCTATTTGTTTCTGTGCAGACTCGTCTCCCCTGATAATGAGGAGGATAACATCACTCCAGGATCCCCTCACCCCAACAAACATCGCAACCCTCGACCGCAACGCCTCCCCTTTTTGCCCCTTCTTCCCTCGCACTGTCAGCCACCTCCTCTCAGGGGCTGACGTGTGTATCCACCTGGGCTATTCTTAGCACGAATCCCATCAGTCTCTTTAATCCCCATCGTTAACGCGTTACTCTTTCTTTCCCGCGTCTTTGTACCAACCGTTTTTTCCCCAATAATTGTTATAGCAAACGTGGAGTATCGTGAGTCCGAGGCAGTACTTGACGTGCCAATTCCTGACATGTGGTTTGTAAAGCTCACGTTGCGCCGAATGACTTTACTCCTGGATTGGTTCTTGTCGACTTAATTTAGCGACCCCATAATGACCGGGTCAAAAGAGGTTTTTGAAATTATTAAATTTTAAATTTTCAAATTATTACATTGAATTGAATTATCGTCCACGTCACCACATATTTGCTAAGTCGCCACTCCCTTGCAATCCCTCTTCTCTCTTCACTTCCCCTCACTATGAGGGTTGGTCTCATCAAAGCTCAAGTGAACGCAGGTCAGTTGGATTACAAGCTTATTTCCAAACAAACATTTGTGAAGTTTTTGCTCGACAGAAATTCTTAGTTGTTTTTTTTTCAATTGTTTACATTTACAAACAATTAAACATATATATTCCGATTGGCTGTCAAAAATGTGTTGTTCATTATTCGTACAATACTTTTCCTTTCTTATAGTTCTTTCAAGTTGCCTCTAATATTATGGCGTTTTTAAGTCGACATTTCGCCTACATCAATGTTGCTATTTTTCTGTGCAATTTTCTACTGCACATTATTGCCGAGGTTTTCTCCAGTCACTGTATGAATCACGAATGACAACTGTCAGCCCTCATTATACGAAGTAGAATCTACCAAATTGAATTATCTGCAAAGGTGTGGTATTATTAATGAAATTGTTGGATCCAATTTTTGTATGCTCATCATTCCTCTCTGTTGTATCTCCATATCATACGAATTCATGTTTTCAATTGAAAATGAATTGACGTTCTGGGTTCGGTGCTTTTCAGGCTCGCAAGAATGTCACTAATGCTCGGAGGCCACTCCTGGTGGGGGCCTGGAGGAACAGGAGGAGGCGGCAGCTCCGGCAAAAGCGCCGTGCAGCTCCTCCAGGAGAGCAAATCACAGTACGTCAAGAGTGACCAGGTACTTGGGTCATCCCAGCGTCCTGCAAGGCCTGACCGTTTCCACATTTCTTCTAATCCAAACATCTTCCTCCATGCGTCCGCACATACGCTCCATGCGACGCGGCTCTCGCCAGATCCTCTTCGTCGGTTACCGGCCCCTGAAGAGGCCAAAGCTGTGTCACCTCCAAAAACCATAGCAACTCTCACGCCCTCCGCTCTAGCGGAACATACCAATAAGAGCTTCTCGGCAGCGCCGGTACGAATACAACGTGGGGCTCCTCGACCGCGAGCTAAAACGCAACCCATCAGTGACCCGTTTTTGCGGGGTGGTGACCTTCGACGATCCCTTTCCCATGGTCCTGCAGACCGAGGGGTAACAGGGGGCGAAGATATTCAAATGAAACTCAGGAAACTTTTGGACGTGGGATCCAAGGAGAAACTTTGCCAAGAATCGCTTTTTACCGATAAAGTAAGTCCTTTAACAAAGACCGAAGTCACTTGTGGCACAGGCACATTCAGGGCCGAGCCCGCTAAAGTCACTGTCCACAAATCCTTGCCCGACTTATGGCGAACATCCGTGTCGACTGTGGACAGTGAATCGGACGTGGATGGCGCTTTGCCGGACAAAAGAAGACCGTCATGCCCCAGTGCCATCTCAATAAATAAAGAAGCCATTTTAAATACGAAGTTTAAATCCAATGTTCCTGCTCAACCCCCTCCAGTTCCTCCCAGAAAGTTTCGTGATGTAATCAGACCCTTACCAAAGCTTCCAAAGGAACCTCCCGAAGTCCCAAAAAGGCCGACAGTCCGAATTTCACCTCCCCAAATCCCTCCTAGATTACGGCCGACATCAGGTGCTGAAATTAAAAAAGCAGACGGAGTCTTGGCGCCTTCTGCCGAAGGAAATGGACGCCGATCATCGGACAGTGACGTTTCTGTTGCAGGAGGAAGCGATGAAATGCGGCGTCGCCCGATCCTTCGGTCCAAATCGGATATCACTCACGAAAGGTGCGTTTTTGGAGGGAAGGACGAGGTGGATGGTAGCCCCCTGCCTAGTTTAAGCGGAGAGGATTTGGAAGAATTTTTTGAAAGCATGGGTATGGATGAAGACACTTTCGCGGAAATCATGAAGCCTCAAGAAGCCTCCCCGACGGAATATTTTGACGAAAAATCGTCTGAAGATTCAATACCGCATCGTTGTAGCTCAGACGACGAAGGACAGCCGCAACCCGCCATCATCAGGCCCGGGGAGCCTTCCATCATTGAGAAAAATGCTAGGATAATCAAATGGCTTTTTACCTGTCAGAGAGCGCAGGGAAGTCTTGCTCAACGACCTACGACGAAATCATCTTAAATGATATCTACGACAGTCTTTCTTACCTGCTACTTTTCTTCTTTATGAAGATGCATGTGTAGTCTTTCTTCGTGTACTCTGTCGATATTTTAAAATATATGTTCCTTTTGGTCTCTCTGCTTTAAAATTCGTTTCTTAATTTTAAGAATCTGTTGCTTATCATAAGTTATGTTATTAAAGTGAGGAGATGAAATGTTGGAAGTGATCAAGCTCGCATCGTTTCATGTTGAGGTTTGCAGTCATTAGAGAATATATAACGATTGTCGTATGTTGTTACGTAACGTTCAATGATGGCTGATCACTCATTGACACTCCTATCCTTGTTAGTTGAACGTACTAATTTTACGAATACATCTCAGCCTAAATTGCCATTTATGTGTATATTTTTGCGTAGTTTTCGCCCTCTGTTGGCAATGAAAAATATGCTGGTCTAAATAGTATATTAGTATGAAGCCTGGCCATTTTTAATTATAAATTTTTACTTGCCTCCTGCTGCTGAGTTTAAGATGAAGAGGCGACCCTAGAATCAACGAACGTTTTTGGCATTGATCAGCACGACACTTGAGACTGACTTGCAAATTTCAGGAACTGCGACTCGAATTGCGCATCCAAAGATAATCATTTAAAGGTTCATACGGGTTTCCTGGCGTATTTTGTTTCTGAATCCACTGTGTTTGTGAAGTAATGATGATTTTAAAATGTAGATGTGCTAATAATTTCTTCAGGATTAGTGATTTTTATTTGCCCCTTGAAATTCGTTAATTAAATGCCTCGGGCACGGATCTGCTGAATTGATCGGTTCAAACATAATATTATATTTTGTCGATTTGAAAAATAGATTAATCAATTTCGTAGCTATGCGCACAAGTTTGACGCTGGATTGGTGCAGTTTATGTTCGTTTTTAATACGCTGAGGATATAGTTGATTTTAATCCACTTGAGCTAGTGCACGCTCATTTACAAGAACTTATGAGCAATTTTCCTCTCAGTTCTACGACGAGTCTCAATCTTTGCAGTTTCAGGGAGTTTTTCTCGTTTCAGTCATAAATTTACAGAAACGTAAATCACTATGTGTCATTTAATATTTATTCACTTACAGGAACTCTACGCACCTCTCTTCATAGAACGTTATGTCTTACAGCTAGTGCATGCCTGCACAGAAAATACGGTATACGTATTATTTCCCGAGCGCACTTCTCACGCAGTCCCCCGCGTATAGGCAACGTAGTGAGCAGTCGAGTGAGTATATTCGTAGTGTCTGTAGCTTGTTACATTTGGCCCCCAGTGGCTGGAACTAAAGAGTAGTTTTCTTTAAAGCCAAAGAGTGAAGAAGATGGGTTAAATTTAGTGTAAATTTGGGAAAATGGTTAATTTTGGTTTAAAAATACATTGAATTGAAACGGGTATTTTAATTTAGCTCCAGGAGCATCCGATTGAACTTCCCTCCACGTTTCATAACCGTATCTGCATACTAAATTTGTAGCCGAATCAATTTAATAACTTCGTCTCATAACCAGCTTTCTAATGCTACTCGTTCAATCGAGTGTACCGTACACGAAAGAGTAATGCCATTTCTTTGAAGTATTATTTCCTTGGGTACTATAATGTGAGCCGTCAAAACACGAATGGTCTATGGGAAAATTGACGCTCAAGCGAACTGTATCGGTTGAATTAATTCTTCGGTTGTTGTTGTTCAAGGACTATTATAAATATACCCAACATAATTGTTGAGCACTTTCACTCTATTCTCGTCGCACTCAGTTCCTAATGAACCCTATAGAAATGCACGATGTTAAAAGTGTCAAAGTTTGTTCGCGTATAAATGGTTTTCATTACTTTTAGACGCACCAGTGCAGGCTATAGATAGGTACCTTTATCTATAGAGGCCGCTAGCCTGGAGCGGCTTGAGTAAAGGTGATCAAGATAAACTTGAACGACCGAGTTCAGTTTGCAGGAGCGCATTGTGATTACCGCCCCTTGTTTTGGGGTCGTCCGAGTCCCTATCAGCGTAAACCAGAAGCAGGATGTGCCACTTCCTCTGGTCTTATTTAAAAGCCTGGTGAGCTAACGCAGTTTTTGGGCTAGTAAATTAGGCTTTAAAATTAGAGGAAACTGCGGCTAGTGTGTCCAGTCTTGCGGCCTCGCGTGTGCTGTTGCTGCTGCTCTGACATGTCCAGTGGAGCGCGTGGATCAATTGGACACGTTCCAAACTCGTCGTGGACAATAATATGTCATTTGGCTGATATTGTTACAGAACGAAGTTTCATTGTTACGGATTGTTGATTATTTATGGTGGCGCTCTATCCGAGGAAACGGATTTTAATGGAAAATATATGCCTTTGCTAAAGGCCAAGAATTATGGATTATATAAAGTGAACGAAAAAGTTTGAGCATAATTTAGGTTTGAAGAAATAAAATTTTTAAGATACCGTTGCATTTTTCCCGATAAGCTCTTTTATCTTTATTAGCTGGAATATTCATTGCACCGCGGCGTGCCCTGGGGCCAGAACCACGTACCAGTGTTAATTTAATATTTTTCAGGAGGTGCGTGTATCGACACTATCACTGTACACGCATTGACAGTTGCTTATATTATGACATCGCGTTCTTCGCCAGCTCATGAATTAATCTCTGCTGCAACGTATTTTTAAAATTTATTTTAGCCTGCATTTATTTAAAGTATTTTTTGCATTTGTTTGCATTTCTTAGTAAAATTCATACTACATGCCACCTCTCCATGATAATTAGGTATTCGTTATTGAGGCTCAGAGAAGGGCTCTAATTACTTACTGTGTAGCGCTAGTCCTAGAGTTTAGTAGCGTTAAGGTCTTTGTGTATTTTAGTTAATTTTCCCAGTGATTTTATAGATATTCACGTTATTGCTGTTCGTTTTTAAAAGGTTTAGCAATAAATTGTCAGAATATTATGGTCGATTTATTATTGAAATGCTAGTGGCAGAGTCTTGGAACAAGCTTGGAGTGTTATAGGTTTTTTTTATATAATAACCTTTTTGTGCATAAGGAAAGGGTGACGCAGCTCCTGCCCAGTTGTGTATCAAAATTACATAGTTCAATTAAGGTTTCATTGAATTGCTCCATGAAATAGGTTTGTGCTTTTCTGAATTATCTGAATTATTAATTTCATTTCTGTGAATCTCTCAATTCAAATTAGTGTTTGTTTGTTTTTTTTTTGCCTTAAGACTCGTATTCTAAAAAGGAATTTCTTGCATAAAAAGCGACATCTACTTTGTACTTTTTTTTAATTTTCCTTTGATTTTTATGTTGATGGTTCAGCCCTGCGATCTACAAACATTCTTTTCAAGTGAAAATGTTTCTGAGCATCGATTTCTTCCAGTCACCATTGTGCACTTCAATTGTTATGTCTCGCCTTTATTGATGTTTTTATATTCTTGATAATGTCTGTTTTTATTGCAAACTGTGTGCTTGTAAGAATATCTGACCATTGATGTATATCTCCCTATTCCGACCTTGGTGAAATTTTTCAACGTGTCCGCTTGCATTATAGTCACTGCACCCAACGGGTTGACAAAAATTTTTTTATTTTATTCATTTACCAATCTGATCTTATTGGGTCGTAAACTTGCGTTATATTTTATTTTATGTTCAGCCAGATCTGTCATTACAGTCGTATATTTCCAACCACTATCAACTGTTAAATCAATTGAATTACAAAGAGCGTCCTAGACAGTGAGAACCGTTGATGTACCATTTGGGAGAACGTGGTTCCTTTTTGGTTCGATGTAGAACCTAAATAAACCAGTCATTGTTATTAGAGATGAGTATTGAGTGTAAATCGTTTGTTGTCGAGATCGCTGGATATCGTTTAATCGAATGAGAAAGTCAAGTTAAGAGTATTTTGATGTTGTTTGGCTTTAGGAAGACTCGACAGGAGTTGAACTAGTGTTTGAGCTTTATAAACTAGCGTAGAATCGGTTGATTCTGTATCGATGTTATCTCGTGTGGTGTTCGTGTCTTTATACTTCATATTACAATTGAGAACATTAAGTAATTTTCTTTTACTTATCCACCACTGATCTGTAACGGATCGTTCATTGCGTTGTAGCTCGTATTCCGCTGCTCAAAAAGTATTGCATTCAGAAGCGTGTATTTTTCTATGTCAAAGCGTCAGAGTATATCCGCTGACTTTATGTGGAGTGACGCAGGAATTATTATTCTGAATATGAAGGAGCGCATGGTACTCTGACCAAATTGATTTAGATTTGGGGCGTAGTGACTCTTATAGCACATACAATAAAGGCCTTTGTGACGATCTGATTCTTCGTTCGTTTCATATTGGTGAAAGAGTTATAAGGAAAGTAACGTCAGAGATGAGAGATAGTCCGTGGCAAGGGTGAGGTAAGTGCAGGTAAAGTCAGGTAAAATTGAAGAAGCACTGGTTGCACTCCTCACAGAGAATCATGCGCATCGCAGCTCTCACTTTTTGGTGCCGAGCGCTCAGCGAGTCGATGGAGGCAGTGATCGCTGGTCAGCTAACGGGTCTCGTAATAAGGAGTATGGAGGACCAAAGGAACCTCTCGGGCGGCGTGTAGCGATCATGAATCACACTTTGTGACTGAAGCGACTAGCCTCCCTGCCGAGGCTGTGATGTAACACCGTCATGGCATTCATGGATGATATTGCGGCAAAAGCTCGTTCTCATTCAGGTTATGACGGGCTTATATATGCGACACGGATCGTGCTACGTAGAATTTTGCAAGTCAGTACCTATACAGCTTTGTATATGAAAACAGTTTAATACTTATTACATAATTGTTATACTCGCATCTTGATAATCCAGCTGGAGTTTGTTGTACTTAATTTCTTTGTATCCGCAACTACAACATCTGTTAATCATTAAAACAAATATGACACGCATTGTCTCATTCGGAGACAATTGTCTTCAAATACGCAGTCCTGAATGGTTTTCGACATTGCGTAGCCTTCTGGAAATTGCGACAACGTTTAATACGTTTTAAAAAGAGTCATAACAGTTATATGGAATTGAACCGATGAATGTGAATGATCTAGCTCTCTGCATGCTGTACGCAACAGACAACGAAATTCATCGTTTAGCTAATCGTTGCCGGTAGCGGATGTCTTGCAGTGTGTCAAGCGATAGACACTTCTTTGTGAGAATGAAACAGTATCTATAAGGTCGATTGGTAAACTATTAGATTATTTGTCTTGTACATAAATTGCATGAGGTAATGCTTATACGTTCTACTTTCTCTTTGTGACATCCGACAGCTGCATCGCGTTGTATTCAGAGACGAATGGCGCCAAAGCTATGAAATGCTGACACTCTAATCATTGATGCTGTGCTGTCACAGCGAATACCGCTGTGTTGACGAATGAAGGTGCTGATGTTAGAGGATCTCTTAGATAAAATATACAAGATAATCTCACATTGATGACGAGATTAATTTACAAGATTTACGAGATATTACTAGATAATTCTCACATTCTCACAAATGATGTTTTCTCGAAAACTTCAACTTTCATACCATTACATTGTTCTTGATGCATACACTGCATGTGCCCACACGGGTGTATGAGTTTGGTATAAACAGCCTTGATTTAACTTCACCATTGCTAGTAACAAAGTTGTAATTATTAAAATAAAATGCGGGAGTGACTGATTTTTACTTCATCCTAGCAAATCAAATCCACCACACCAACAACCAAGATCTATGTTTAAATTTTACCAAAGGAAAAAAAAAATCCGTTACTCTCTTGCGACGAAGATTACGTAAAAATTATTTTTCAACTTTTCAGATCGCTCACCCGATCATCAGATAGTCTGTGAACCGTTCCAATAAACCACTTCATTTAGAACCACTGTCGGAATTTTTTAGTGATTCTCACAATTCGTGCGGTAAGTTCTCTGTTACTGACGAGTTCTTCCTTTGATTGGTTTACACGACGCATGAGAGGGTCCAATAAAGTAGTGGCAGTATTCCTGACATGAAATTCAATTTTTAATGAACAAGATAGAGAGTGCATGTAATCCCTGTCACAATGTCGACTCAAGGGGAGAATAATGAAGCCGATGTTCTGCGCAGCCTCGGGTCACGCATCACGACGAGAATCATGGACGAACGATAATATAATTGTAGCGAAATTTTTGAGTTGACTATGAATTTAATATCAGACAGTGTTGATGTGTAATTTGCTTTGATAGTAATTTACGTAAAGTTGAACTTCGACTTCTAAGTCTATACACATCTATAAATTTTGATGATGGATAATGGGGCTTGCTTTCATTTTTATTTTAATCCTCATCCTAAATTCCTTACGTAGATGGTATCAGAAAGTAATTTATAAAATTTCAATGTCCCGACACTAACTACTTGAAATAAATCTATTTCCACTCCTTGCTTTAAAAAAGTTTCTTTCTCAGATTAGCATCTAAACATCAATAGTTAGATTGCACAAGGACGTGTGCATTTATTTTATAAAAACCCGAAGCAATAGTGGATATAATTGGCTCTCCGTGTGACGGAGGTGTGACATGAGCGCGCGCAGCGGTGCGAGACTCCGCTGTAGGGTTGGGCGGCGAGTGTCCGGCTGCCGTGCACCGGATGCACAGCGCGAGGGTAACCCAGTGACCTCGGCCTCACAGTTCCCACATAATCATAAATTTATTTTCACCAGTGAATGAACGGTAAATCTATAGGCTGGGCAGAACTGCGTTGGCAGCTAATTCTGAAAACTACAATGCTCGTGAATGTTTTAACGCCCCGATACGTCGAATCGTTTTGCTGCAGCATTTTTTTATGTCTGTAACATACATAGAGGTCATTTTATTTCTTTTGTTGTAAAGGAATGCCGTGCAAGCAAAACCCACAATTCAATTTTTGTTCAGTTTTTAAAACATTTTTTAGAAGGCAAATTTCTATTACAAACGTTGATCAAAAACTTGGCTTCTATGAAAATAAGTAACGAATTCGTGTCGAAAATTAATAGGATTTTAGAAGAGTTCATAGCACGTCGCAACTCGATCAATTAAAGCACATGTCGTATGTATTTTGCTGTTTACTTATTTGGCATGCGCAATTCGATTTGTCATTTCTACTAAATTCGGTTAAAAGCAATAACTTTCATATCACTTAAAAAAATGGTAAGATTCTGAATCGCGTTAGGGTGGCTATTTTGAGCCTATTTACTCTCCTCTGTGAAGTTCGTCGCTAACAACAGTAACAAGTACCTATACAGACTTGATTTCGCTATCTCCTCTGTCCTGAACATTTCTTAAGTATAGCCTAAACGTCGATAATTCGCGGCTTGCGCGCGGATAACTTCTGACGATTCATTATTCAAATGCCACATTAGAAGTATCATAGTAGCTAACTTCTTAACTAGCTTGCTACATGCTACCTTGATTTTATACTTTGGACTCACAAAACAAAAGCGTTTGTCTGTGTCAGGCTCCATCGTATAACTCCTCCAGTTCTGAATCGATCTGGATGAAATAAACATGCCCATTAATAGATGTGCAAATACAAATATAATAAAAAAAATTTAACATAAATTCGTTTCCGATTTAAATTCATGAACGTTCGTTTGTGCAAGTGTCCACTGTCTAACGCAATTCCATCAATTTTTACAACACTTCTCTTTAACTTCACTTCTTGTTTGTCTGTCTGTCTGTCTGCTACAAATCTTATTATCGAAATTTAACACACAAATCTACTTATCCTATCGATCTGAAATTCTGCACACTTGCGTAAAGTTGGAGACAATGCATGAATTAAATGACAAAATAAATAATTTGATAAATAAATTTTTTCAATATTAAAAAAATGAAAAATAATTTTGTCTGCTACAAATCTTATAATCAATATTTAACACACTTCTAGCTGTCCAATTTATCTAAATTTTACAGACTTGCGTAAAGTCGGAGACAATGCATGAATCAATTGACAGAATAAATAATTTTGAAAATTTAATTTCTTTTATGTATTAAAATAATTAACAAATTATTTTTTTATATTCGAAATTAAAATTAGAAATTCATTGTACATGTTGTACATTGGAGACACGGGATTTTTTTTAGAAGTGTGGTCTTCAAAAATCAAATTTTAAACGTATATTATATTGGCTCATATTTTATCAGTTTATTATTTTAAACCAAAAATAGCAAGTAAAATGACACCAGTATTAATTAAAAACAATATTCTTCCTCGGTCTGTACAATAGGAGCGCTCCAGTTAGGCAGATCCGCTCCACCGCACCATTAATTCGTTGTAACATCGTCGATTGCTGGTTGATTAAGTCGTAATGTCTTTATTGACGTTGAATCGACGTCTAATGATTACTGGGACTCAATTTTAATGGATAATGATTGGTAATGTCGTTCGAAAAAATGCAATTCAACAGCGGCAAAATCATAAGAACGGAAATACTTCTGCTATAATTTTCCCGTAAAAACCTTACGCTAACAAGTAAATTTGAAGTAATAGGCTGGCAATGGTGATATTATTCGCTGTTTTCCTGCGTGATTTTATTCCCTGAACACTTGACACATTGTGGTGGGAAGTGAGGTGCTATTGACATTTAATTAAATGTAAAATGAGAGTTCAATTCAAATTAATGCCCTTTCAAGGCATTAATTGAAGTTATCGTGACCCAAAATGATATCAGTGCAAAAAAAGTCACCCTTTCAGAAATAAAAACAATTTTCAAATTTTTTCAGACCCGTGTAATTAAAGTTAAACTTGTAAGAAAAGCAGACTGGGTTACCAGTTTTTCCCGGTGCATTTTTGCGGTCGTTCCTGAGTGGCGTTATACGTGTACATTTGTATGTGGCGAATAGTTGATCGATTGGCGAATAGTTGACGAATAATTGATCGTTTGCAGGAGGCGAATAGTCGATCGTATATATATTGCGAATAATTAATCATGTGCACGTGGCTAATAATTGATCGTATGTGTGTGGCGAATAATTAATCGAGTGCATGTGGCGAATAGGTGATCGCTCACACATGGCGAATAAGTGATCGCTTG